ACTAAAGTTACGTAACATATTATTAATGCGCATAATGGGACCCATGCGGTTTTTGCTGTAACCGCAGCCGTGACCGGTTGTAACTCAGAAAATTCATTGGGACGATTCTACGGCATCACTAGTACGTACGTACATAAACTTTATACCGCATTTACTATTTAATCGGATTTTGCATTTACCAACTGTTAACCGGCATTTGAAATTTTATCATTTTTATTATGAACATGAGTTACGCACGTTATCCGAATTATTTTAAATCCGTACCGGTACCGGATTTAAAATATATCCGGACAACGTGCGTAACTTACGTGCATAAAAATTTAAAATTTCAAACCAGTTTGTAAATGCAAAAATGCCGAATAATCCAGTTATTCAAGCCGAAGTACTCATAACTACGGTACTTTAGTGTTCTAGTACTAGTAAAGCGCAATCGCGCTTTACTAACCAATCAAATAGCATACAGCAAATACCCCAGTTATTCGGCACGAAGTGCCGAATAACTATTAAATCTAATCACAATATGTTAAGGTTACACCTAATTAGGAGTTAATTTTAGAATTCTGACATCATTTATCACTCATTGTTTTGCATGCTGAAGGCAAGCATTTAGCTGGTAATTGTCTGTATTTAGCAGTACTGTACATTGTTTTATATTGAACTGATCTATATATAAGTTAAGTATGATTGTTATTCGGCGTATATGACGATAAATTAGATAAATTAAAATTAAAAATAAGTTAGAATGTGAAATTAATAAGACAAAGATGCATGTCGAAGGGTACAGAGGTAATCTGTGTAACATTCAAACACAAGAATCAGTTTTTATTAAATGCAAAAAAATATGCGTGCCTTTTAACTCATAGTCAAAATGAAGGTCCCAGCTGATAAAGTTAATATGAAGTATATAATTCAATCTTCTTTCATTAATGTCTAACTTCCTTTAAGTACCTAAACTTTTCTTATTTTGCCTACAATCGGAGTTTAATTTGCGATTGCTCCACAACCGATTGTGATACGGTCCCTGACTGCACTTTCTAATTTTATAACTCTGTTATCGTTACGCACATGTGCTTAATCCTAATATTTTCACGCCATAAAAACCTACAGCCCATTGATAGTTTACTTGGAAAAATATTATAAATTAAAATGAATGTCACAATACTCCTTTCTCTTAAGGAATTTTTGATTATGAAATTCTTTCTTAAATTGTTTTATCCTTAAGTCTATTTGTTTTATCCTTAAGTCTATTAATTGTACATAATGTTTAAATTATCTGTTTTTGGCAAAATCACAATTGTTTCGATCATTTTGCAAGCGATAATAGTCACTGTCTTGGAAGCTTTTGTTATTTATTTTCATGTCAATTTTGTTAGTCAATATGAATTAGATTCATTTGGTAATGGAATATCTGTGGCAGACTTAATCTATCATGCAATGTAAGTAAATCGTTATACATTAACTTTTTAAAACTTACTAATTTTTTATTTCTTCTACCATCTTCCAGATTTATCCTCGCGTTATACTTCCAAATACTCTTAGCAGTTGATGCTCTCTGGCATCGTAATTCTGTTCAAATAATAGCTCTTGTAGTATTCAATTTTCTTTCATTAGCATATGCGGGGATACAACTTTATCAACATAAAATTCTCGAAGACCAAGGCACTGAAAATGCAACATACGTTCCGACTAATCCCATTTTCCCTAAAGACGATAGATATGCTCCCAAAACATATTACGAACCTAAGATGCGACCATTAGAGGATACAATAATTGGCATAATATCTGTTTTTTCTGTATATTTAGCTTTCATGTCTTACTTGCTTTCCAAAGAATTTGGTTGGGAAAACTATAAAACTTATTCTGCTGATATTCGCATTCGTGATGCATATTGGAATCTTATCATTTTACAGACTTTGCTTAAAATGGATATATTCTTTATTGGTTCTTACGCCATACAACTTATACCTTCTCAACGAATTGGTTATTATTCCAATATAGTGGAAATTGTCCTCGTATTCTTTTTTGGTACTTTCATGTTGTTAACGGCTTGGTTCTCCGTCAGTATGGAAATGAAATATCTCTTGTTATCTGTTATTAATATTTATTCTATGACGCTGATTTACTGGGGATTTCGACTTATAACAATTAACATTCGTCTTAATACTGATAATTTTGGTATTATTTATTTATTTTTTATCAAGTTAATTAACGTTTATTCTCACGATTCTAAATTTTGTTTTAATTAGATCCATACGTATTTACTCGAAGATTCTTAACGTTCTTTTTAGCTATAATATTCATACTTGTATCAGTTACCATATATTTTTCTGTTATTTGCTTCCGTAATATGATGCGTGGAATTTACGTACTTACTGTATTTGGGCAGTCTGAAAATGAACAAGGTGGAAGTTCTTATTTAGGCACTGATAATGTGGAATCTCCTTCTACAAAACGTACATCAAAGAGGGAAAGTGCTATTAGACAGCAACAATTATTTGCTCAACAACGTGAAAATGAAAAAGTTATTTTAGATTAATGCTTACAAAACCTCTTCATAACATATTTAGTATGTATATTTTGGCAAAAAAAAAAAAATATAGTAAATAATCTTATTGTATTATTAGTGTATTTAAATATTTAGTTATTTAATTAGCTAGTTTATTTACCCGTGGTTTCGCCACCAGATTATTGTACATCTGAATAATTCTCTATATATTTAAAAAGTTTCGCACAATGGTTTTATTTTTGATAGCGGTATTTTTTAATATCGAACAACTTAAATATCATAAGGTTAAAACATTAAATACATATAAAAATTTGTATATGATTTCTGGATTGAATTTCTTTATAATTAAATTTATATAACTTATCAGATTTTGACTCCCGGATAATTAAATTATTACACTTTTGTTGCTAATCGAATTTTTTAGGAGACAAGTCCATTGTTACGTATAAACTTGAAAGCCCTAAGTCTACGTTTTCTTGATTAGTAAAAACAAATAACCAATCATAATTGAGGATTATCAAAACATTTTGTACATAAAATTTATCACGAAACGAATTTTCATAAAAACTTAAATACGTAGATAATTGCATTTTATTATAGGCCAAAAATAAGGCAAAAGAATCTTTTTTGAAAAATTACTACCAAATTCATCCTTGGATAGTTACAAACCAATCAAACCATGATTAACCAAACCTAAAACGCCCAAATACCTCATAATCTTTTATAGCGACATTGAGGGCAGTAGCACTATCACCTTTTGCCATGCTAATAACGAATATTGTTAAGAGTTGACAAGGGGGCAACAACAATTTTGTATTTTGTGCGATTTCATGATTGGGAATATCCAGGTCCGTATTCATTGATTTCATAACAACAGATATTTCCACGTCACATTACTAAACAAAGAATTTTTTATTGTAAAAATTATTGGTGGTGCGATTCTTTGTAAAAATATCCATCTTGTTTGCTTGATAATTAGAAAATCGACGAAAATCTTGCGTCTTATATAACAAATTAACCAATTAACTAATTTATACATATGCAAAAGATTTTATTGAAGTATCACTTTGTGAAATTATGAAATTAATACGTAAGAAAAGCAAATATTGTTTGAAAAGACTGACAAGAATTAAGCAGTGACAGAGGATATCTTTATTTTTATAATCTAGTGAAAACTGTGATTTTGTGTTAAAATGATTAAGGGTTAAAGTCTATATTGTTCGATCATTAACACACTAAATATTATCCAAAAGAAAATTGAACGTTGATTAAAGTGAGGATTAGAGGCGGAGGGTGGTTTTTTATATCAAAATTTTCTAAGCGAAATTTGAGGTATATACGATGTTTTAAAGCAATAATTTTACGTCACACCTGATCATTTATAACATTATTTTCATTATTTTTTTTAAATTAATCCTGTCAGATCCCATAGATGCACCTTCCTAAATGCACGTCCTATAGATGTCTGGGCCAATTAATATAATACTTATAGATTTTACCTTCCTAAATGCAACACCTCTCTAAATTCACCTTTGGTATATATTATTATTAGGTAAATATAAATACTATATTTTACAAACCCATTAGCTTAACAAAAAATGACGGTTGTTTCAATATAAGTTTTAGTTTTAAAACAAAAGTATAGTAAACTTTTTTGCGACGGGACTATATATAATAAATTAGTCAAACGTGCATTTGATATGCATTTAGGAGTACATGCATTTAGGAGAGCTTCTCATAGTGCATGCATTCGGGGTCTGAGCATATTAAAAAAAAAACTTAATTCACTATGTAATATTAAAAATATTATACGCTGCAGCATTTTGCACGGTAGTTTGCCATGAGTTTTTATTTTATACCAGTACGATCACATGAAATGTGTGAGGGATGGTTCCGTTCAACTTTTTGGTGCGCTATATTTTTTCCTATTTTAGAATGTGTTATGGTTATATCGTTATCATGTTTTTGCTTCATAGGACGACTTTCATAAGATTAGTAGTTTAAGTCAATTTAATTTTACATTATTTATACAGTTTAAAGTACTTTTTAAAAAAATTAAAACTACAAAGAATAAATGAAAAAAAATACATAGGAGAGATTATTAGTGTTGTAGGACTCCACTATTGAAAAATGATCAAAACCCTTTTTGTTTAGCGAAGTTAGTATTATAATTATTTCTTTAAAAATAGATCGAACAAGATTATTACTATGCTAACTTCTCTAAAACAAATGGGATTTTGATCATTTTCAATAGTGGAGTCCTATGTACTTTCTTTTCATTTTTTCTTTGTAGTGTTATTTTTTTTTTGAAAAGTACTTTAAACTGTATAAATAATGTAAAATTAAATTGACTTAAACTACTAATCATATGAAAGTCGTCCTATGGTGTTTTTGCTTATTTTGTATTTGTAAGCGCCGATTCTTGTTAATATTAATGATCTAATTAGATCGTCATAATTAATAAGCCTTTGTAATCTATAACAATATGGTAAGTGCCATCAACAAAAACTGCAATTCTAATACGTATAATACTCTAAGGAGTGGTTTTCTAATTGGGTAATCATATGCCCGATTAATATGTAACAATCCTTTAGTGAACCTACGATGAAAACTATTTATAAAATTATTTATTAAGGCCATACAAACTTAATAAATTGGTTCTCATAACCCGGCCGGGTCAAATTTCGCAAAATTTTTGACTATATTTACTACCCGGGTGAAGTTTTTTAAAAATTTTTATATGCATTTTTATATATATAATTTTTTGACGAGAACCAAAAAATTGACTTGTATAACCTTACCTGAAATTTAATGTGACGGCTGATGCTGAAGTTTGGCTGATGTTGAAGCTAAAAAATCTGATTGGTTAGGGTTAGGGTGATC